GCTGCTTCAATAGTAGGCTCGTGCACGAGGCGTGCATGCTGTACGTGCACACTCCAGAGCTGAGACAGTCCAGTGTGTGTGTGTGACCCAGAGGAATGGAATACAGGAGAACACGAAGCTAATTAATTAAATAATTTGGTTCTGTACCTTTCTCTTCAACACAGCCGGCAAAGGTTTAAGATGGGTCAGTCCTCCTGCATGCGCAGATCATTCCCTTCCCTCGCTTGAAAAATTGTTCCAAAATGAAAGTTGAACCCACATCTTTTTTATCCGTGAATTCAATGCCTTTCGGCGAGTCTCAAATAAAAATTTGGGCGTCTTATTACTGTAAAAAATTATCCTTAATGTAAAAAAGAAACTCCAAATAACAAACTATGTTCACACCCAGAATCAAACCCAGGTCTTCTGCATGAGTCAGACATCTTACTAGAGCCCTCTTCAGACAGGCTATGAAAAACGGAAATGTTCGGGACTCGGTCCTTAAGACCTTTGTGTCTGAATACAAACATCCGAATAACCTTTTCCGTAATTAAACCGGACGAAGCCACTAGTAACAGGTCCGGACTTGTCACGGACAGGGTGGCTGCTTCAGACTGGTGACGGGGAGGAGGGGGAGGTGGAGGGGACCGGGGGACGCTGTGCGTACCTAGATAGCTCGCTCCTGTAGCGTGCGGCGAACCCAGGCCCCCACAATGCAGCTCTGAAATTGAGTCAAACCCGGAAGTGAAATAAATTGCAGTTCCACCCTCATCCGCTGGGGGCTGGTATCAGAAACGAGCAAATCCTCATTGACTCCCATGTTAAAAATACCAATTTCACAGCAGAAATAAACATGTTTACGTTTACTGCCTGGTACCAAAACATGTTTTTTGTTTAAATTATCTAGTTTACACTCGTGACAACTCTGAGGGGGTGAATTTTTTTCTCACTCTTCTGTTTAAGTGTATTAAAAGCCTAAAATTCTGTATAATTAATGAGCATCAGACCCACGTGACCACAGAGCTAGCTCCGTGGAAAGGCCTCAGTAGAGCCTCGGTCTGCCTTGGAAAATGTTCTGGGATTTTTAGTCTCTGTGTGTGTGTATTCTTGTTTGTATATTTTTTGTGCAATTGTTGGACAAAATGACTTGCTGTGGCATTAATTGCACTAATAGAGCGCCCAAGGAGTCTCCACTTCATTTTTTTTTGGTAAGTAAAATTATATTTATGTATTTTAGGTCACTGCCGAGCTGAGCTTCGATTTTAACATGTACTGTTTAACCATGAAATTTAAATGTAATAGGGTAAACCCCAGTGCATTTAACATAATGCTGCACTTTAGAAAATGCGTTGAAATATAACATGTCGGTGGAGCTGGGTTCCGACTGTCGGCTTATGGAGCTCTCAGGAGACCAATGTTTTCCACCCTTATCTCCTCCCCGCAGCCTGGTCCATCTCTGTCTAATCGCGGCTTCTGTTAGCTGCGCGGGCTGACGGCTGGTTTTTATGGCAAGCCAGAACTGCTAAAATACGCCACTTCTCCCCGCAGCTCTGTCTGAACGCGGCTTCTGTGTGCTGCGCGGGCTGCCGGCTTGTGGAGCTCTGGGATGGAAACCTTTCCACCCGGTTCTCCCCAGTGGCAGCTCTGCGCATCTTAGATCGCAGAGGCGCCTGTCTGCTGTGCGGCTGCCGGCTTGTGGAGCTCTCGGGAGACCTCTGTGTTCCACCTGGTTTTACCCAGCGGTCAGCCCGGCGTATCTCTGACTCAGAAGCTCTGGTGTTGTGCACAGTTAACTCCGGTTGTAGCTAGGTTGCTACCTACGTTAGCTTAGCTCCCACCTCCGCATTAGCTTTGGGTTAGCTTGTAGCTAGTTCGACCGGGTGTCGTCAGTTGATCCCAGCCTTACAGCCCCACCCTCAGCTCCACCTCTCTTCCCTTTTATGGAATTGTCTGGGCTTGACGGAACCTGTGACACGGTCAAAATGGCGGTGGTGGCCACCTCCCATTTTAGCAGAAAAACTTGAGATTGGAGTCTATGGAAACCCATTGTCCATATATTAATGTCGATGGGCGAACCATGGCAGCTCGCCTCCTACGGTACCATCTCCTTGACGCGCAACGGAGTGCTTCACACCGCTTCTGTGATTCCTTTAACCATTGAGCTTCATCATCCAGGTCTCTTATCCGTCTTCATTTGTGCAGAATTATGCTTAACATAAGTCAGATCGGTGAGAGGAATTCTATCTCTTCGTCGGCCGTGTTTGACTGAAAGGCTTTGTTTGGGTAAATGACGCATGTGCGCCCGCCACACTGTGTTTACGCAATATCCGGGTACAGTCTTCCCACCCCCTCCCCCTCAGACATCTGGAACTTTTCCCTGCTGTATGAAGGCAACCGAAAGGACAAGTTCCGGTACAAAAGTGGTGTGTCTGAAAACACAGTTCTGGTTAAAAACCGGACTGAATTGTCCACACATATTCCAGAATGTCTATCTGAAAAGGGCTTAGGCGAGCTAAAGCGCCTTTGACGTTCATTGTATCTGTAACATTTATATCCTTGATGACAGCTGAAACAACGTTCAAAGAACGGTTGGGAGTGAAAATGGCTATTTTGTTGCTAATTTGCAGGAAATATCTAGGAGAAAGTTCTACAGAAAGTAGCTAAGGGTCTTCAGAAATGTAGCTAGGGTTGTCACTAGGCGTTAGGAACAACAACAAAGTCGCTGAGTTGTCACTGCCTCTATCTCTGCTGCTAAAGCTACGGATAGCAAATGCTACGGGCGATGCCTGAGCGTGAACGCGCATGAAGCAGCCTGCTCGACCCGAGCAACTCTCTTTTTCTGTGATTTTACAGAAAAACAGGCAATCACAGTAAAAATGCCAGGGCTCATTCTACAGGACCAGGGCATTGCAAGAAACGTCCTCATAGTCCCTTTAATACGCAGAGATTCATTCGTTAACATTTAAAATGAACTTTAGAAAATTAGATTTGATTCTGTATGAACTTTTTTCTACTTTGACTCGATTCTGAATGTTTAGATGCACTTTTATCACCATTTGGTGAACATTTAAAATACATTTTATTTACGGTACAAAGCAAGGGTTTTAGGCAGGTGCGACAAAAGAATGGTGACAACAAAGAATGCTTTTAGAAATATACCTAGGGATGTCCGATATTATCAATGTATTGGCAGCAATAGGCATTAAAATTTAATATCGGAAAATATCGGTATTGGTCTTTTCATGACACACCGTTTACACACCACACACTCATTACGCATCAAACTCTTCAGCTACTTCTCCTCTCTCTCAAAATGCCAAAAAAAAAAAAAGACAGATCTGAGATAAAGTTGTTTAAATGTTTTAGTGTATTTGGCACAACTTGTAAAGTAGAATTTTGTCCTGTGGTGACTAACTATAACAATCAAGCGTTGCTTTTCTCATCTCAAGATCTTTACAAATGTTTTATTACTGTGCAATATAAGTAAAACATACATTACTGACTAATACACACATCTTAGCAGCCCACTTAGGGAGAATGAGATTCAGCTGCTGATGGAGGCTAATTAAAAATGCCATTTTTCCTAACATAAACTGAAGTAGTTCTCATTTTGCACAGAAAATGTAAAAGATGTAAGCATGAGAGGAGATATGTGATGTCAGTAACCTTAAATGTTTTAGATTTTCTTTTTTATGAGAGGGATCTCTGTATATTTCGATAATGGAAATTAAGAGTCGATAACATTGGCATATCGGATAGAAGTAAACAAGCCAGTATCGAGCATTCCTAAAAGAACCAAGTAATGCAGTTAGAAGAAATACACAGAATGAACATATAAAAGATGTTTAAAGAGCATCCTTAAAAAATACTTGTTTATTTTTAGTAATGTACAAAATACAAAGCAAGTGACCCTAAACATATAGCCACAGTCATTAAGAACTATCTTCAGAATCAAGAAGAACAAGACGTCCCGGAAGTGTTGGTCTGGCCCCCACAGAGCCCTGATCTCAACATCATGGAGTGTTTCTAGGACTGCATGAAGAAACTGAAGGATGTGAGGATGCCTACATCCACTGAAGATCTGTGATTAGTCCCCCAAGGTGTATGGAACAACCTACCAGCCCAGTTCCTTCAAAAACTGTGAATGAGGCTTTTTCCGGTGCCACACCTCAACCTGCGTCGGGAGAAGCGATTCGGTCTGGACTCATTTTTCATTTCATTTCATTTCAAGGATTGGTTTTCTCCCTACTTTCCCTCTACTTTTTGGTCCCTGCTTCTCTGTGGTTCCAAGGGCCGAGTCGGGCCTTGGAACCGTTTGCCGTTGATTGCTGGGGGCGGTTTCACTGGTTGTTCTGTAGCTTTATTTCCTGGTTCAGAGTCAACCATAAAGCTGAGCAGAATGTTCACCATCACCACCATTTTTTTGTGTGTTGATTTGGGTTTCTGTGTAGCATAAAGATCACCTCACACTTACTGATTACTTTTGTCTCAAGTAAAGTTTGTGCCCTGCGGTGGGCTCACAATGTCAAAATGAACAATGATTTGATTATTCAATTTGATTTCATTCTACATCAACACGAATGTGTTGGTTGTCTATAGTAAATATAGTAAATGGCCTGTTTTTGACATAGTGCTTTCTAGAGTCCTGGAACCCCCCAAGGCACTTTACAACACAATCAGTCGTTCACCCATTCACACACAAATTCACACCCTGGTGGTGATGAGCTGCATTGTAGGCACAGCTGCCCTGGGGCTCACTGACAGAGGCAAGCGAGGTCCCTCGACAATCACCAGCAGGCAATTGATAATTAAATTTACAACAATGCGCTTGAATGATTCTAAATATAAATATTGAACAGCATATGTTGATTCTAAGCACATATGCGTTCTTTTATATACCTCTTAGACTTTAGTCAAAACGTTTAGATTTTAATTAGAACCTTTACTTTCACAATCGGCGCCCCATAGATTGTCGCAAAGATTTCCATTTTATGGAAAAACCCGTGAAACTATGAACATACCTAATGGCAAGAAGAAGAAGAAGGGCAGCCAGCAGAGGATGAACATCCCCACCACGATGGCGAGAGTTTTAGCAGCCTTTTTCTCCCGGGAGAACTTCATGAGCCGCACTGAGAGCGAACTTCGGAATGGGTGGTTTTTGCTGCTCTTGGAGCTGGCCGGACGCGCGTCCTCCAGCACGCTGCGGCAGTGAATCCGGAGCACAACTTCCACAGACTTAGTCCTCTCCCGTTTGACGCCCGCTTCCAGGCTCTTCGTGGTCCTGCGGGCCACCACGTACACCCGAAAGTACATGATGAGGATAACCATGAGCGGGAGGTAAAAGGAGAAGAGCGAGGAGAAGAGCGCGTATCCGGGCTCCTCTGTGATCCTGCAGATGCTCTCGTCCACAGGCGGGGGTTCCTTCCATCCCAGCAGCGGTCCCACAGAGATCACCACGGATGAGACCCACACCAGCACCAGAATAGCCACTGCCCTTCTCTCTGTCATGATGCTCGGGTACTTGAGGCAGTATTTCACCCCGATGTAGCGGTCGATGGAGATGATGCAGAGGCTGAGGATGGAGGCGGTGCAGCAGAGCACGTCCACAGCTGCCCAGATGTTGCAGAACACCCTGCCGAACACCCAGCAGCCCAGCACCTCTAAAGACGCGGAAAAGGGCAGCACGATGATGCTCAGCAGCAGGTCCGCCATGGCCAGGTTAATGATGAAGAAGTTGGTGATGTTCTGCAGTTGCTTGTTGCACACCACGGACAGGATGACCAAAATATTCCCAACGATCGCCACCAGGATGAAAGCAGAGAGGAAGATCCCGACGCCGACAGCCTGCGAGTCCACGGTGAAGTTCTGACATGTGATGTTGTCACGTTGAAACAAGCGGTCCAGAACAGAGTCGTTGAACGCTTCAGGAGACAGCCCATAGTTGCTTTCATTCCGCAAATTAGAGTCTGTCATTTTGCGCCATAAAGAGAACTTTAGAGGAAGTTTTATTCGCAGGAAAACTGGCTGATGGGCGCTGCGCTCTGCCTCGCTCCGCGTTGGTCTCAGAAACGCAACCTGGCGGCTTTCATCAGAATAAACAGCTAACAAAACATAAAAGAATTCAACTCAAAACAAATAATAACAAAAACATCCACCCGCACGCGCCTTCAGATCCGTCCTTTTCCTGTAAATTTGTTTTAAATCCTGGCTTAGTGGATTAATGAACAGCCCCAACCGGAAGCGCATTTAGGTCCATTATAGCGCGTTTTTCTTCTGCATGGTGACATCCTTTGGAACAACTCTGATCACAGCCAGAGCTGCTACAGCAGGTCTGAACCTCCAGCTCCACCCACATTCATGTGGCGCTTGTTGCGTTCGCAGCCTCCCAAACAACAGGAGCTTCATATGGCCAGTCATTTTTTTTATGCTCTGCCTTTTTTCTGAGGTATATTTGAATAGTATTTATCATACATTCATTGCAAATATCACAAAAAGACAAAGAAAGGCAAACAATGAATCTGGGCTCCATCCTTGAAATCTCAGGAGACAGAATCACTCATATCCTCCAACCTACCCAACAAGTCTGCTCTGACATCCAGGGATATAGCTGGAGTGCCCAGACGCAGATGTGGCTGCCATCTCCAGGTTTTGTGTGCTCTAAGGACGGGCCTGTCCCCCCCCCCCCCCCCCCCCCCCCCCCCCCCCCCCGCTTACGTGATGGACAATTCATCACGCTACACCTTCATTCCCTTTTACAGTCTCCCCAGTCCCCGGTCCTTATTCTGTGTTTTCCCCTTTCAAAGATTTTGACTTTTTGGATTCATGTGTTTTGTTTATTTCTCCCAGCCTTTTAGTTTCAGTTGGCATGTTTTTGTTTTATTGTGTTCTATTCTGTTTTCCCCAGTTAAGTCTTAATTTTTACTTTAGCTTCTATTAGGTTTGTCAGTTTATCAATATTTATCTCTCGATTTCTCCTGGATTCCCTGCATTAGTTTCACTTGCATCTTTAGTTGCTTAGTTTCTCGATTATTTTCTATTTTCTGTTTTATTAGTTCACTTCATTAATTATTATTTTTGGGCTTCAGTTCTCAGAGCATTTATCCTCGTTTAGCTTCCCTGTTTAGTTTATTTCTTTCAGCCTTTAGTTTAGTTTCATTCTGTTCTAGTTGTTGTTTTATCGTTTTGTGTTGTTATTTACATCTTGTGTTGTGTTTTGCCTCCTATTTCTCAGTTAATTAGTCACACCTGTTGGCCCTTTTCATTTGCAATCATCTCACCTGTTTCCATTGTCTTTGTTTGCACTTCCCTGTCTATTTAAGCCCAGCTCAGTCACATGTTCTGCTTCAGACCTTGCTGTTTTAATCAAAGACTTTTATTTTGAAGTATTAGTCACTTATCTTTTGGGAGGATCAACCACTTGAGTGGGAAAGGTTCTTTGACCTCATGGCTGCTTGCCAGATCACTCTACAACTGCATCATAACCTCACAAGTCCCTTACTGTCGCTGCCTTTCATAAAAACAGATTACTCAGCTCTTTACTTTTACGTTTAAGGACAAAAAAACATGTATATATATATTTTTTATTTTTTTATATTTTTTGGTGAGACTTATTTATTTTTTCACTTTTGTCTGACTTAAATCATAAAGAAAATTGCTTACATTAGGAAAACGGGACTCCCATATTTATTTATTTATTTATTTATTTATTTATTTATTTATTTATTTATTTTACTTTCAGAGCGTTTTTGAGAAAGTGTAAATAGAAGTGGAAAAATCAGGCTTAGGAGGTTAGGAAGCCCTTAAATGATTTAAAACAGTTTTGTTCGTGTTTGCCAAAAACAACCCTGGAACAAATCTGTGACTTGTTGCTTCATTTAAAAGCTCTGAGACTGCAGAAAACTATCCAGGTCATTGCTTCTTAGTCAGAAAACATTTAGTATATGAATGTGGTTTTTATTTTATTTTATTTTTTTCAATTTTTTTGCTTGAAGAAACGATTTGATGAACACAAAGGATCTTCGGCCATAAAATAAGATGTCATAAATTATGCAGGACTCAGTAAGGTGCAGATTTTTAATTCATGATCTGATTTCCATCTTGAACACAGCTGAATATTAAAACGCGCCATCCCCAAAATGCCAAATAGTGTAATTTGGCACTTTGGATTTGATGCTGATGTCACCGAACTAATATGTTTGTGACAAACTGTTGGTGTTAACATCTTCTAATGAGACATCTGGTTTATTTTTCTTTATTAATGTCACAAGAACAATTTACTTCTTTATTAATATTTTACAATAAACTATATTAGAACCCCAGAATGAATTAAATATTGGTGCAACAAAGTCCTTTAAATTATACAATCACCATTCAGTTTAATTAAAACATAGATGATGATGTACAATTTAGATAAAAACATTTCATTCATTGTTTTCGTGAACATTCTGTCCAGCACAGCGATTTAATATTTTCAGGATGATGCCTTATTGGACCAGCCTGGTTTCAGTGTACAGTCTGCTCCCCCCTATAAAATGACACAACCTGCAGTCACATGAACGCAACTTTGTCTCTTTCCGGAGTATTTCTCTTATTCGATGGCACCATCTAGTGGCTGACAAGCATATCACACAAAAAGTCTGTCGCTCTGTCTTTTTAAGATGGCGACTTCAATTCAATTCAGTTCAATTCAAAGAGACTTTATTAATCCTTGTTTAAAAATGTGTTTCTGTAGCCAACAAACAGAGCTAAAACATGCTGTTTTACAAGTATTTTTCTCGTGTCATGTTGTATTTTCATATATTTATATTTTAAAGACTTTCTTTTCCGTGAAAAGTGTATCAACTCTAGCCTGGCAAGCCAGACTAAATAATACATTTATTTAGTCTGGCAACGCTCCATTGACTGCTCTCGGTTGTGGGGCGGGTTCTACCGTTGTCTTTCAAATGATCTTCGCATTCCCCTGGACAATGAATGTGACATACTCTTATTTCACTCTGTTGCATCATCCCACCCACCAGGCATATAGAGTGCCCTGATTGGCCCACAAAGCGGATAAAGCTCTGTGATTTGTTCACTAAGCAGATAGAGCACTATGATTGGCCCACCATTATAGACCAATCACAGCTCTTTATGTGTTTGAAACCCCTCTAGAGCTGGGATTGGCCAGTCAGAATGCTGTTGGGGCTGCAGAGGTTCCAGTGGAGCATTCCTAGACCAAACTTTGCAAAGCAAGAATTTGGTCTAGTTCACTAGGCTGCATCAACTCTGCATCAGCTGAGGTATTCCTTAAATTTGAAGCATCTAAGCGGTAGTCTAACGCTATTGGCTAGTTCTGGTCAGCAGTGTTCTACTGCACGGAGCTCTGCGGGGCAGGGGGCGTACTTAGCAAAATAAATAAATAATAAATTAAAAGACATACTGCTTACATTATATCACAGTACATGATTAGATAATCACTTTTATGGATTTCTGAAAAACCATACATAATTTCTGAAAGTAGAAAACTCTGGAAAGCTACTTTAAAGGGACACTTTGCAACTTTTTCATATTTAAATCATTTTCTTGAGCCACCCAGCCCCATCCCCCTCTGTTGCCAGAATATTCCACTTGCCACAGAGATACTGCTCTGTTGGGACATACCTGGCGCTGCAGTCAGCTTCCAGCACATTCCCTGCAAATTTTTGATCCAAAACACAGCTGATTTGTTTAATTTAATGATTATTCACTCATGTAGACATTAACGAAGACTGGGGAGACATTTCAGCTCTTAGATTAAGGTGTTAAGATAACGAACGCACAGCAAGGAGATAGATGTTGCTTTCTGTTCTAGTAAACGGACACTAGGGGGCGATAAAAGCAAACCGAAGCTGCCTAGTCTCCCTGTAATTGAAAACATCACCTTTAATGCTTTAATTTTGTTACATTCAGAGGATGTGAGGATTTTTATATCTAGGAACCAAGATTTACGGTCATCTCAGGTATATACCGACACCAGGATTTGAACCCGATCTCCCAGTCCCAGGGCAGAAACTCTACAACTAGGCCACTTGAGAAGGTTGCTGAACTTCAATCAAAAAATAAGCCTACTCCTATTCTTATTTAAATGTATTAAAATATAAAGATAACTCCACAAACTCACTGTTTTAGTACTGGAACTTCAGATTGTAATGAGCAAACATCGTCCTTTCATTCCATTGCGAGCCATTGATATGAACAAATATGTCTGCTTGGTCACTCTGCAGACCTCAGTAGTAGTTTGTGCTAAAATGTTTCACTTGCCTATTAAAGGAACTCCCACTGAGTGCGTGTTGTTGCTTTTCTCTTTTGTGTAATTCATCATGTTGACATGGTCTAAACTCCAGAACACTGAGCTGCAGTGCTGAGGCAGTGATCATCTCCACCTCCGTGCCTGAATAAATATCTTTCTGCATTGGAGGGATCAAAAAGTCTCCAGACTTTGATGTATTTGCTCTACATCAATATTCGTGGGATTTCCTGTCAAATGCATGTGTTTTACTCTCAAACTTTTATCTATTTGTTTGTCAAATTAATTAAACATTATGAAGACATTAAAAGCCAAAAGATGTATGTGTTTTGTATGTCTTTCAAAGTTAGAAATTTTTACTTCAGAGTCAGGACAAGATGATCTGTTGCCCTTGTTCCGTTTGTTATGTTGCAGAACCACATATTTTATTTGTAGGCACCACAAATACAATTTATTTTCTTGTCAGACTTTCAATATAGCAATCTGCCCTAGACTTTGACTGTTTGCCTTCAACTGTTTGCCTTCTTATCAGCCTTCACCAGAACCCTGGGATCCAGTCAGCCACAAGTCATGTCATTCCTCGATTTCACTTCATACACGACTGTTAAAAAAGTTAAATGGTAAAAAGGGTCAGATGGGATTGGCCTTTGCTGATGAAAGTGATGCTCCTCATGTTTGCATTAAACACTAAAGAGTTTTAACACTTTAAGCTATTGCTTTCAAACTGGTTTCAGTGGTTTTTGAACCATAAACTTGAGCTACTTCTCACTCTGTAGCCCTCTGCTGATCAGAAACTGCACTTAACAGTTTTGTGGTTCGAGTAGGAACACGAATGGGAGCTCTGTGACTACTTTACAGCAATAGCTGTTTATTGTGTATCTAATATAAACGTGAGCAGTTAGCTTTTTCAGTGTGCTGAACATTAATAAAAAGCACAAGAAGAACAGATTTTGCTTATTGGCATCATGGAGGAGCCTGAAGGTGAAGGTAGGAGTGATGCCTTTGGAGGAAAGGCAAAGAGCTAAAACCACAGCGAACATCAGCATGACCTACACTAGTCAGAGGGAGCTGAAGGAGGCTACGGTGCAAAGACTGATGGTGACCTGGATTTGTTGCTACTGGACTTGTGGGGAGTCGTTTAGCCCAACAGTGTGGATCATTTTACCTCATGGCTTATTTAGTATCAGTTAGCTAGTGTTAGTGTTAGCTCGTTATTAGCACTAGCTACAGCAGGCTATGAAAGG